TATGTAAATCATTTGCTGATTCGCTATAAATCTCCGCTAGAGTATTTCTGGTAATTAGGCTCTTCTCTGAATTTTAGTCTCCCACAGCCTGTCGGTTTAGGCCAAGGTTTGGAGTTACACCATAACATTTAATTTCTTTTCTGATAATTGACTGAACAATGAGATCTCAAAAACTTGTTATTTTTTTTATTGCCTGACCCTGTCTAATGTCTTAATATCTTTATTAGTGATTTGTCTGGTGTGTTATCAGGCATTTATGGTGCTGTTAATTCACCAATGTTTAAACCTCTGATGTTTTTAGAGAAACTTTAATAAAATCTGAAAATGACATTACAAGAGAGTGCATTTAGAGGTTTCAGAGTACAGGGATCTGAAAACATAAGCTTAGCATGCTTTCTTTCGTTTCTTTAGTTTGTAACATTTTATAAAACTATGGCTTATTTCCTTCCACTTCATATTTATGAATGTGTGTTGGTCTATCATAAAATCCCAATAAAGTACAAAGAATTTGGTGGTTGTAAAGTGACATCATACTAGAAAATTAATGATCTATAAATAGCACTACATAACCAGCTGTTACTGTTGTTTTTTCCCCACAGATTTTTATTTATAGTATTGCATAGTATGGTGCACTACAAACTGGTATTATGCATAAGAAACTGAATAAGATTCATGCTCCTTGCGTTCCAGAAATAAGCGGGTATCTCAAAACTTGACGCCGTGTTTTCTGCAGGGAAAAGAAGAGCTGTATAGAAAGGTGAAAATGTGTTGAACTCCACCAGCAAAGTGAGGATCTGTTCACTCTATTTTTAACTCAGAATCTTAATGAAACATCCGTCTCACACCCTTGAGCCCTCCCTCCTTTTCCTCAATGTATTCATTCACTGGCAACAGATTTAGTAGGAGGGATGAAGAATGGTGTATAGGCTACTCGTTATTATTATGATGGTAAGAGTGATGATGATCTATAGCTGAAGTCCAAGCAACACTGTTGCCAAAAAGCTGCTCTTTTAAACAAACAAACAAAAAAAAAAAAACACAACAACAGCATTATTCTCATTTAACAGTTTGAATATTTCTTACATCTTACGGATTCCTACTATACTTGTAATTCCATACAGCTGCACAGTTTATTCGGCGAGCAGAAAAATGAACTTATGTCTTCAGACATCTTCATTCATACAATTATTTCCCTTAGCCAATATGGCCAGAACCATTGCAAAGCCATGTATTGCATGGTGAACAATGTTTAGCTGAAAAAGAAAACAAACTATTATTAGATTTTCAGTAAAATGCATATAATTTCTAGTACAGAAGGGAAAGGGAAACGAATGGAATATGGTAACACAGGCATCCCCAAACTCGGTCCTCAAGGCCCACTATCCTGCAGGTTTTAGAGGTTTCCTTGCACAGCACAGCTGATTTTAATTGAAAGCTGATTAGGAGGCTTTGGTCTACTGCAATCATAACCAGCTGTGCTAAAGCAGAGAAACCTCTAAAACCTGCAGGACAGGGGGCATTGAGGACCGAGTTTGGGGATGCCTGTGGTAACATATAGAAACAAAATGGAGCACTAGACTGGAGATAATGATAATTTGCCCCACTTCCAAATTATTCAGAGTAAAAAGCCATTCAAAACTTTACAAATTATAATAACATAAGTTGTATTTTGATTGCACTCTATTCGTTTCTGCTGCTTGTGTCTGACTTGGAATGATATTTCTGGCTCTTTTACTGTATGTACATTTCAAACCAAAACATTAAGGCCCACATATTATTGCCCCATCTTAAAAGTTTAAAAAAATAAAAGCATAAACCATATCAATGTTTTGCACAGATAAATCATTTTTAAGTTGCATAACTGAAACTGGATGTGCAGTTTATCATGTAACCACTGATGGCCAGAAACAGATAACAGGCAGTTTTTTTCTAGAGAAAATTATATTTATTTAATGAAAAATACTAATTGCATGACTGACTGCTTACTAGGAAGCAAGATAAAGAATTCAGTGAACACTTTTGTTACAAAGTTCCTCCTATGCAGAGACATTATACTTATAAGAGGTATTTTTAAAGTTCAGCGCTGATGCATCTATAAGGCTTTAGCCTATTTTCCCTAAATATATGTTGGGTCAGAAGTCCCCACGCTGTTGTGCGGATGTGACATCATGCACGTCCATGTTAAATGGGCCCAACCAAGCAAACACTCGAAACATTACAGTATATTCAAGATGGATTTTGTGGACACTCAGAAGCATCTGGCATCAAGCTCAGGTGAGACACCAATGGCAACTCCATGTTAGGTGAACAAAGTAAAAAAAAAAGAAAATTTTTGTCAAATACCAACAGGAGCTACGAGAAAAAGCTGAAGAGTGCTGCAGTTCTGAGTTTTAGCTACATGTGGCAGTATCATTAGAAAAAAACCATAATGCCTCTTTAAATCAAGAACCCCTCTTTCCAAACAATCATTCCGCATCCTAACCACATAATAATTCGCTTTATTTGCAACTTTTTTTTTCTGTTCCCAATCTAAATAAAGAAATGTGTTTTACTGTGTGTTAGTATTTTAACATCACTTCCAGCCTCAGCGTGTAGCTGTCGCTTCATGTGTGCGGACAAAATATGCTAATTGCAGAAGTACTCAAAGTTTGAGTGTTGTGATAGAAGATGCTCTGTTTTGACACTATATTGCAGGTGTATTCTCTAAAGTAATCTATGATTATGTAGACAAAAAAAGTCTTACACAATACCTTGTTTCCTAGTATACATTATGCTACTCTAAGGACTCAGTTGTTAGGAAGTTTGTGCTGACTCACTTGTGCCTGTACACTTGATAGAGGTTCCGACTGCAGACTGTAAGACGCTTCGTTGCAGACCTGCACATTGGGGTCTCCTTATTCGAAGCCTTACATGCTTGACATGCACGCCCTGCTTTTTTAGAAGTTGACAAATTTTGAGAGGTGAATGCTCACTTAAATTAGCTTTTTCCCCACTTAAAGACCAAGATAAACAATTTTTAATCAATATTTTTTGGGTGATTTTCTTAAAAATTATCACATTATGCATCTCTTACAGGCACTTCACCAAAAGATAAATGCTCACTGTTGAATCTGCTGTTTTGACAATAAAAATACTTTCAAGAAAATAAAATAAACAGACATTTGAAAGTTTGTTTTGTGTGTACTGTTCTCTCTGGCGTTGTACAAAAAAAAGAGAGTTATTGGCTATTTTTGTCATGTATCTAGGTATTCAGTAGGTAATAAATTCACTGTGAGTACTAAAAGCTTAGTAAATTTAAAAATCACACAGCCTCCACTCCCAAATCTGCAAACGTAAGAACATAGCAAAACAAGAAGGTAATTAGCATATATAATACTTCCAAAGAGACATAAGAGATGCCGTCATAAAGAAGTGAAACAATGTTGTTATTTTGACATTTTCTTGTGTTTTTTAACCTTATCCTGTTGAACTGAAAAGAGATTAATTATATAAATGATGTGAATGAACACATGAAAAGACAAACATATTTCTATTATGAAGACTGAGGAAATAAACACTGGAAAGTAAAATGCTCCCAGTATTCTACCTTTCACCTTTAAAGGCTTCGATACATTTCTGGTTCTGACAGTGCAGGAGACCTCACAGTGCAGGTCTGCAATAAAGGGTCCTGAAAGGGTAAGGTCTGCAGCTAGACCGTCTTGGTACACCTAAGAGTATTAATACTGATCAGAATCACAGAAGAAATTGAAATATCTAACTAACTGCTGCCAAATAGCATTTCTAATCAAAAGTCCATGTCCTAAAATGTTGTTTTCAACAGTTATGACTGAATGTAGAGCCCTTTTAAATCCTACTGTAGAGTGCCAGTTTGTTATGTGCCCAAGTGACTGCTCTCAGTCTAAGCTTTTGTCTTATTTTAACCTACTCTTGTCAATTTTTGTTTTTCAAACAGCACACTTACTCTTCTGCACATTTTGGCTGTGTTTTGCACAATTATTGCTTCACCACCTTTTAAAATTTATCTTGGTTTTATTGATGAAAATTAAGCCTGAACATAAAAAGAAAAATGTTTTAGGTGCTCCATACCAGCAGCAAAATATATTCCACCCATCACCTATACTCCACCTGCTCCCTGACTCTCCCAAATCCAACTAATTATGGGTGTCAAGGGGAGGGTGGAGGTTTGACAGGACCCAAATGCAGACACAAAGCTAGAGAAGGTTACTTAAAGGTTTAATTAACCAAAAGTTAAACAAAAGCAAAAATCCCAAAATGCTCAAAACCAAGAATACTCACAACCAGAAGGGGACAAAGTAATGACGACCAACCAGCAAAGAGTGACTGAACAGGAGGAGATTATATGAGAGAGAAACAAAGACCAGGCTAATGAGGAGAGTGGGAGCAGGTGTGATCAGGGGCAAGAAGGGAGCAAAGGTAAAGGAGTCTGACACAAGAGGGCAAACAGGAAATATCTAAGAACTCAAACAGTATCAAAAATACCTAGAACACAAGAATCATAATAACACCCATGAAAACTCAAAAATAAAACTTGAATAAAACCAAAACCATGACAATGGTGAGGTTAGATGGAGTGATCCCCCCAAACCAATCTCTGCTTTGGACCCTATGCAATTTATGGCTGAGCCTAATCTGGAGACTAAAGACCATTTATAATAAACAGTTTCAAAATAAAAAGTTTAGAATAAACTTTCAATAAGTCCTAAGCTGCAGCTTAATCACGTTTTAACGCAATGTTTCATCTAAAGCCAAAGGAAATCAGAGTCACTCCACTGGAAACAGGGAATATAAATGCATTGGCCATATAGGGAGATAACTTTTGCCTAACTGAGCTTTGTTTATAAACAGGCTTAAGCCCAGTTCTCTGTCCAGTGACGCGAATAACTATGAGTGGGAATAATAGGTTTTTGGCTGTTTGCAATCGGGTGGGTCAGGGAGGTGATGTGCGTCGCCCAGAAGATACGCGCACATGCATGCAGAGCAAACCCAGCAGCAGCAGCAGGAGGAGGGGGAGTGGGGACGGCCGAGGCGTCTGTGGTTGGAGGTGTGTTGCTGAACTACAGGACTTGCTCTTTGGTGCCAAGTTCGACGGCCTGCTGAGAGGAAGATCTGCTGTAATTGCTTCTCAATGAAGGCTCACCAGCAGCAGCAGCAGCAGCATTTCCCTGGAGACTTGGAGGACAGGCTCCATGAGTTGGACGCGCTTCGGCTTTAAACGCCTGCTTTGCTATTCTCTTCTGGTATAAACCAGCTGCTGGTGGAGTGGGACTGTCGGAGCATCATATCTTGGTGTTAGAGATCAAAGAAAGAGATTGGTGCGACTTGCTGGGAGTTTAATCATCTCGGAGAAGTTGAACGCGGATTTCAACATGAGCGAGCTGGAGGATGACTTTGCCAAGATCCTGCTGCTGAAGGAGGAAAGGATACGAGACTTGGAGCGGCGGCTGGCGGACCGGGAGGACGAGATCCATGAGCTGAAAAGGAAACTGCACAAATGTCAGTCTGTCCTGCCGAGCGCGCAACTTATCGGACCCCGGACCCGCAGGGCTCAGGGCATCTCCGCGGAGCCCCAGACGCACCAGGACCTGTCCAGGCAGGCGTTTCGAAAATATCCTAAGTCTGACTGGTAAGAAACGCTCTCTTGCGTAACATGCGTGTCCCATCTCTTATATTTGAGTGTTTTGTTGTTGTTTTTTTCTGCTCAAATCAAATATTTTCCATTGATATTTTAAATCAATGTTAAGCTTTTAACAGAGTTTCAGGGTAGAAATTGATCAAGCCTGTTTACACATGGGTTTATTTGCAATTCATCCACCAAATTGTGTGAAAAATAAATAAATACAACTTTTTACTCCGTTCTTTATCAAAAACTGGAGATTTGGAGCTTTGTCATGAATGGAGGAGTACTTTCATTCTTAGGGTGAATGACGCAGCTTCTGAAAGAGCTTCCTAATTGATCAGATCCATCACTCCGGTCCCAGAGGACGCAGACTGGAGGAAGTGCTGTGCATTATTGGCTTTTAGTAGATGGAAGCTGAGGACCCAAAGTGCATGTCTGAGGATATTTAATACTCCATTAGAAAGCGCTTTGTTTGACCATATGCTTCCTTCATCACCTTCAGACGCTCGTTTTAGGTTCACACGGCCTTATTTTCAGAGGTTTCATGAGGTTGAGGTCATCACCATATTGCAGCTTTTACATCACCCTTTATTCACTTTGTCTATGCAGTTTAATCACAGACTGAAAACTTTGACAGGCTTCATCTTTTATATTCACCAACATCAAAAATGACTTGTCATTTGGAGGTCTGTCTGACACATACTGTGCACTCAGAGGAAGCATGGTTCTGTTGACACTGTGCCATAAACAATGAGGTTAATTTGATTGAAGTGGCTAGACAATTTCCAAACTTCATTTGCATCAATAAAGAGCATGCAGGGGAAGTCCACACTGTGCTCATTAGATGATGAGATGCTCATTAAAATCTATCTATCTATCTATCTATCTATCTATCTATCTATCTATCTATCTATCTATCTATCTATCTATCTATCTATCTATCTATCTATCTATCTATCTATCTATCTATCTATCTATCTATCTATCATCCATCCATCCATCCATCCATCCATCCATCCATCCATCCATCCATCCATCCATCCATCCATCCATCCATCCATCCATCCATCCATCCATCCATCCATCCATCCGACCTCCTGCAGCTGTTGGTTCTCCTTCTTTAGACTGTTTTCCCTTTTAAATCAGTCAGCTGATGAGTCATGGGAAATGCTCAAATGTCTTTCCAGTGAACAAACAGATTAATTGTGTGTAATGAACAAGCAAAGATGATCACCATCTCTGTGTGGAAGAAGGCTGAGCACCGGCCAGGACATAGACAGTGTGTGACCCTCCTCCATTAAGAGTCAGGACGTGGCACCGTGGAGCCGCTGGAACGCCTCTGTGTGCTTTCTCCAGATTCAGCTGCATGGAGATACAGATCCTATTTCCATTGATCTGTATAGGAAAAGGGCTGAGCTGGATGGCTGGAGAGGTGAAATTCAAAGCGCAGAGGAGCTTTGAAGGACAGTAGGAGAGCCGTCTCCTGAGGAGTTGAATGCAGGGATGCTTAGGGGACCTTAGAGGGCCTGAAGGCAGGTCTGGGCTTCCTGGCATCGGAAGTTCACTTAGCAGCTTTTTAGGTGCTGCCTTCTGTTGACAAACATACAACAAATGTTTTTAAGTAGCTCAAACGCAAGCAGCATTTCAGTTAATTTTAACACCGTACTGTTTTATTTGTGGAAAAATACAAAGAAAGATTTTAGTAAAATAGATGCAGAGTATTTACTGATTTAACAAGACAGTCTGGTGCACTGCTGAACAGATGTTCCCCACATATGCTCCACAAAACAAGTTCATTTAAAAATTGCAATTTCTAGCTACACCTTTGCATGACTTTTTTATTATATTGTAATGTCCTTTTTAAGAATCAAACATTTGGTTTATAGAATTTCTTTCTTTTAAATACATTTCCATTTATCATTGTCTGAAATGTTCTTATTTCAAATGCTAAGTCAGTAGAAAACAAACAGCTTATGCTTACATTTCTCCATATGCACAGATGGCTGGCATTGCATTCTTATTTATATTGTACTTCAAATGAAACAACTTAATTTAACTGATTTTCTGCCACCAGGCCATAGTTTGTATGTCTTTTTGTTTCCCTGGTTTATACAGACTGATATATTTCGCCCTCTAATGCTGTTTGAAATCAATATTTCCAAAGGAGCCTATTCTAACATTCCTGGTTCAGTTATTATTGGATACTGCAATTTAATTCTTTTTTTCCCAAGTTAGCTTTAATTTATTTGGACTTATCTTCTTTTTACCAGCAAACTATAAACATTTATAAATAATGCAACCATTTTTGGCATTTACTTATTCATATTTAGTTACTTTAACACAATTGTTTATGTCCTACCTGCTAACATGCAACGTTTTTTTTTAAAGTAACTAGATATGATTAAGTAAATGCCACAAATGGTTGCATTATTTTTTTCAGTCATATAAAGATGCTAGATCAATAAGCATATATTATAAAACTGGTGGTGTTATGTTCCTGTCAATTCTTAGCTCCTGATTATTGATTTTATTTCATTTAATATTATAAATCAGACCACAAGCAGAAGATATACCATTTGCTTGATTTCTGGTTTGCCCTACAGAATAAAAATAAATAAATACATAAAAGTCAGTAGTGGAAAATTCATTCAGCATGGTTGAAATTCAGAATCAATTTTTTTTTACTTCATATTCAGTGTTTCATTTTATTTAGTATATATTTTAATTTCCTACAGCGACATGTTTTAAATATATTATTTCTGCGACCAGGAGCGTCGCCCCCTTTACCTTGGTCGCTACCTTCCACCGCCACCAGAGGGCAGCTGTGACCTATTTCTCCGCCATGTGTCTGAGTTCTGAACTGTTTACATTCCTTCTGTCAGGAAAAAAAAGAAAAAGAAATGCCTTATTCACACAGGCGTTTCCCACCCAACCAGGGAAATCTCTTCCCCCTCAGCTTTAGTTCATACCTGTCAGCTACCACCTCTCAGCTGTAATTGCTGTTTTTAGCCTGGACCCCCACCCCCCTCTCCCCACACCATATCAGATTGTCCTTGGCAGATAATACTCCCTCTAAATTTGTCCAGCTCACACAGAACCAAATTCTTTTCACGGAGATGACTCATTGGGACCGTGCGGACAGATAGTTCAGAGTGCACACCACATTAGATTTGATGAGGTCTGTGGAAGATCCTCTTGGTTCTGGCACCTTTTACGCGCTCTACTTGTCACAACATATTTGCAGGATGGAACTGAAACATCCCTTCCCATTAATCACATCCGTTTTGCGTTTTAATTTTCATCTATTGGTTTGTCATGTGCAGCATTGGGACCAGTTGCATATATTTCTGACAAACATAAGCAGACAAACAGAAGACAGACAGAAGCAGATGCTCATTTCTGCAGGTTCATTAAGCACCACATCACCTCCAGCTTCCATTACGACTCATTTATTTGGAACTCCATACCGAAGTATGGCTTTCTCACTGACTTCATTATTCATGTGAGACAAAGCGCCGCTCTCTTTGGTGTGCCAAACTGCACTGTGCCACAAATTCCTGTAGGCGCCCTTCTCGCCATGCGCTCTCTCCGGGTCGCAGCTTGACGCACTCGGGGAGGACGGTCCACCTTTGCCACATCGCAGAGGGACTGAGGAGGAGGGTGAGAGAGAAAGAGAGAGAGAGAGAGGAGCAAACTTTGCACGATTACGATTGACACGTTTTATGACAGTAAAGGGGAAGCCTAAACTAAGCATCCGTCTGGAAGCGAGGGTTTCCCCCACTCAGCGGAGAAAGGAGCTGCATCCTCTAAAGCTGTTCATGCCGGATAAAGTTTGCGCGCAGCTTGTCAGAGGAAAGAGGAAAAGGATTCGATCGAACGCGTAAACTTGTAGGAAAAGTCGCACAGAAATGGGAACACTGCGTGACCTCCAGTACGCGCTCCAGGAGAAGATTGAGGAGCTGCGCCAGAGGGACGCGCTCATCGACGAGCTGGAGCTGGAGCTCGACCAGAAGGATGAGCTCATCCAGAGGTTGCAAAACGAGCTGGACAAATACCGTTCCATCATTAAGCCGGCGACCCAACAGGTCCACAAGCAGACCGAGCTGCAGGAGCAGCAGCGGACCAAGAGACAGGCGATCTCCGCCGAGCCCACTGCCTTTGACATCCACGACCTCAGCCATGTCACCCTGCCTTTTTACCCCAAAAGCCCACAGTAGGTGTTCGGAATCTTCTGCTCCTAAGAATAACTACCCTATAATTTGTATGCGTTACCCCATTTTTTTCCCCACCTGTGGGAATCTTGTGCGTAATATTGCTCGTGGTGTAGCAGGTGTTTCACCTGTAGCGCACACAGAAAAGGATGCACGCACAAACTCATCGCGCACACACACACGTCAGATTATTTTGGCAACTGTTTTGCCCTAGAAAGGATTTTTTTGGTGCTTCTTTATTTCAGAAAAACAATGCAATTCTCAATATCAATAAAACTCCTTATATTAAAATGCAGAAATGCGCAGAAAACCTCCAGCCTCATTCCACCAACCTGGAATAATAGATGGATGTAGATAATGGCTGCAGCTCTGTTTAATGTACCAGCGCCTGTTTTATACAAATTCTGACGGCGTGACAGGCAGTTTAATAGCATAGCTGTGCGTGTTTACTCTAGAGACCTCATTCCTCTTCTCAAACTCTCAAGCAAACAGGGTCCCCTGCTCCACTTTATTGGCAAGAAGAGGTCAGAATATTCCAGCTGTGCGTGTGGTTTCGGCCTATGTTGAGCTATGCACTTCCTTATTGAAAGGTGGACAGGAAGAACATTCTTCATGTCTCAAGTAAATAACTTTTTTTTTCCACTTTGAGCTGTGGAAATGCAAGAGGGGGGTTAGGGAAATCACCAATTTGGATGAAACGTTGAGATGAGATGGTGAAATGCATGCAAACAAGCCTGTGAGGATCTTATCAAAGCAGATTCAAATCTGACAGCAGTTATTTGTTTGAGCACAAAA